AGGCATCTGTGGAGGATGGATAGGGTGCTTATTGTACCTGTCGTTCTCTCCTGTACAGGTGTGATACCACACACACTACACAAAAGCCTGGGAACATTACAATTGAGTAGAAATACATACATCACACTACAGAAGGCCACTATATTGAATACATGCCACATTGTTAGGAAATTCCTGAATACAGACACTGACACATTTATTTAATTTTTGTTTTTGGTTGCTATGCCTTGACTCTGGTCCAGCATAGTACACAGCCACTGGTGTGTACCGAGTATAACCCACTAAACCCAATACATAATAATAAACACTAAATTAAAAAAAAGTTTATATAACAGTTAATAATAATAAATAATAAACTGAAATAATACATCAAATAACTTGTAATAGGATAGAAAAATTTAATAATTTTTTTTCTTTTAAACAAAATTAATTATTTTTATATGAAGTCAAACTACTTTAATATTTTCAACACAAAAAACAGACTATAGCAAACATAATATGAAAAAGTAATTGAATTATAGTGATTTAAAAGGTTACATGTCAAATAATTTAATTTTCTGATACAAAAATAGAAACTTAATCTTAACTGAAAAAATCAATCCAGTTACAGAATTTTCATTAAAGCATTTAATTTAATAAATTATTATTATTATTATATTTGATAATAGCAATGGTGATGATAAATCAGTGGCACTTACCTGTTTAACTGACTGCTTTTCATTACAAATTTTGCAGTTCCATTTATTGATCTTTTTTATTTGATGAACTTGATATGTTTTACATGAATAACATTGCAAGACATGAAATTTTGAATTCTTTTCACTTCGGTTTTCATAATCTAAATTAAACAATAAAAATGTAAAATTAGAAATATAGACAAAAAATACATTTAAAAATATTTATAATACTTATTAACTCAATGAAAGAATTAATATCATGTTTTGGCTATAACAGAGAATTTTATTTTTTAATCTTTATCAAAATGTTTGACTATACTTCAGTTTTTACTATACAGTGGGCGATCGGTTAACGAACAAATCGGATAACAAACACTTTTACGAAAGATTTTTATGTTTGGACAACGAACACCCCACAGAACAAACACAGAAGAAGTGACATAAAATAATGAATACCGATTGGTTTTCCCTTGTCTTCAAGCAACAATTTGAAACTTTTCGGAATGCAGGAGACGTCAACATCGACGCTTAACCCAGTCTATACTGATCAGATAGTATTCCTCCAAACTTTGAAACTCTCCTTTGAAATTCCAGTCTTTTATTTTTCTGATAAAAGCAATTCTTTTATGTATTTGCAAGACTGTTGGGTAGGCACTTGTTAAGTTTTGCGTCTGTTTTTCTTTTCGAAAGGTGAGAGTATAATAGCAAAGGTAGAGTGGGCAGAAGATGCCTAATGTTGCTGGGCAGTATGGCGTAAACATGTCTACAGTAGGCCACAGTTCAATCTTATTTCTATCATCTATTTTCTGCATGTCTTTCTAATCAACAGGATTATATTATTATTGTTAGTCGTGCGCATCGTGTCTCACTTGTATATATGTCACTGCATGCTATGTTTTAACGCTTTCTGTACACTTTTATTTTAATGTATTGATAATTTTTATTTGTTGTGTTTCATTATCATTGTTGTGTTTCATTATCTAAACTCTAATAATATGTGATTGTTATATTGCTTCTATCTTGTAAATACTTAATTCAATGTAATTTCTTGTCCACACAACCAGCTATGCTCTACGCTGCTGGTATTGTACAATGTACATTCTAATAAAATGTATTGTATTGTATTGATACAAGCATACACTTGTTGTTGAATTCTGTCAACAACAAGCATACACCTGTATCACCACGCTAGCAAAGAAATTACCACGTGGATGCGTGGACGGAGCCTTTGAATTCATCGGGTGTGCTAGCACACATTTGCTAGTGTTAGTTTGTAATGGCTCTTATGCTTAATTTCTTAAAAGGTTCTATTGAAACTATAAACTTTTTTTAGATTTTATTTTGTAATCTATATTGATTTCTATCAATTCTTTTGTTAAACTAAAAAAAATTTCATTTTGAAGAATTTCAAGCAACTTTAATAATATTTATTGCATTTTTATCAAATTATCAAAAGATAAATTAACAAAATTGTGACCAGTAATTACTATTTATTAATTAATAAATCAGGTTTACTCAGTAAATCAAAATGCACTTGAATGGTAGCAGCTGTTCTGAAGAATATTCAACACTGCAATCTGAGGTACTGATATAAAAATATTGTACTCATCAAAGATTGTAGTACTGAACTGTATGTTCAACCATCATTTTGACACTCCTTCCAATTTGGGCAAATGCTTATCATAACTTGGGCAATTGCCCAGACAGCTACTATATTAAACAGGTTTTGTCTAAAAGAATGACATAGCTGTTTTGCTAGATATTAACATTTACATATTAATATTTTTAAATCAAAAATTTAAAATTAAAATTTTGTAAAAAGTAACAAACTGAAAATACAATATAAAAATACAGAAGAAACTAAAACATATTCAAACTTCCATCATCTTCAATCACCAGGAACAAACAGTTTTCACTTCACTTCACAATGATTCCCAAACTTATGCCCACAAACCCCTTCTCATAGCAAAAACCTGACCATGGATCCCCAAGTGAAATAACTCTACACAACAACAAAATTACAAATTTAACTTTGATGTCTTCCAAGTGTGCTACACTTCCAACTCTGTTGCTCTTCCTTTGATTCTTGGTACTTCCTCCAGGTGTAGTCATGCTCTTTCTTTTTACCAACATCTTGTACTTTGGGGTGCACAATAAAGTTTAAATTTATAAATGAAATATTGTAGACTTGGAGATTGCAAACACTTTGTGTAGTATATAATGACCGACTGCAGGAATGAGACTAACACTACAAAAGGGAATTCCAGTGCTGGAGATCTGGTTACAAGTCCAAGCAGTTGTTAAACAGGTAGGCCATTAAATGAGGAAGTGGCTGTACTGTCCTTTATAACAGCTAACATTTAAGTAAAGTAAAATAATTGCCAACAATTTAAATTAGTGCATTGCAAGAAAATAATGACAAATAACTAGCATAAAGCCCTGGTGGTTATTTGTCATCATTTGATGCTAAAAGCACAAAAGGACACTTTAAATGTATTTGCATAAAGATAACAATAATCTGTAACCTAAACTCTGATTACAATAAGCAAAGTTATATAAGTGTATTTTAAATTATGTTTTCTAATTCTCATATCATTAAACAACTGATAACAATATACATAATCACAATAAGCAGATTCTACTGAATATATTCTAAATCATTCATTTCATTAATATTTATACAGGATATACTAATTTGCTTACAATAAATAATTTATTAATCTTAATGCATTACCTTTAAAGTTAAAAGTAGTCTTCCTAAAGTTGAAATTTCTTTCTTCTTCTTCTTCAAATATTTCATCACATTGTTCCTTAGAAATCCTGTGATCAGATTTAATCAGATGGAAAAATACACCACCTGGAGTTCTTCTTCTAGATTTATTCTATATAGATTGTAAACATAAATTTTTGAATTTTTTCAATTATTTCATATAAAAACTTTGCTTAATTTAACATATAGCAAAGCTTTAATATTTACACATGTAAGAAATTTTGATAAATTCTTTTAAGATTCTTTGTCATATTAAAACATATACAATGATAATATAAAATTTAAAGTGAGAAACAGCAAATTAATTAAAAAAAACATGTATTCCTTCACAAAAGAAAGAAAACATTTTCATAAAAGTATACAAAATCTTTCTTTCACAAAAAGGTAAAAATCCATATTGGATTAAAATCAGAATATCTTACAACAATAGAATATCTTATCATGTATCTCTCAAACCAAATATGAAATTTCTTCTTGATTTTTTTAATCAATGACCAAATTCTAAACATAAAGGAATCTTGACAGTTTTTAGTCTTTTATAATTTTAGCAAACCATAAATACTTAAAATTTGATATTCTAATCATGCCTCTTATCTAATTTAAAACTAATTAACCAAATGGTTATATGGTAAGATATCAACTCACTACTGTGAAGGATTCAGATTCAAATCTAATCTTCATAACATATTGTAAATATTTTGAATTGGAATGTATTTTTTCATAAGTTACTCACATAATGACTGATTCTATTGTTACTTAAGCCTATCTTAATAGACAAAATTGAAGTTAATTATAAAACCAGTGTGCTGATGAATGTGAAAAATATTCAATAAAAATTAAAAACTAAAATAACTTATAAATATGATACAACCTGAAAATATTTTGAAAGAAAAAAATGCATTTCATTCAACATCACTCAAAAACATTAAAATATGTATAATGGCAGTGGTTACCCTTCAATAAATATAGTTTAATCAACTTGGAAAAAAATCAATGTAACTAACATTGAATGTTAGTTAAATTGATATCTTTTTCATTTGAACAATTATTTGTAATATTCTAGTGTGAATATGCTTTATACAATAGTATTACAGTTTAATAAAATATCCAGGATAAATAAAGATATTGTAAAAAATTCACTGGGATAAACAAAACTTTCAAAAATAAATATGACACATACACACCTCAGAAACACAATAAAGTCACATAGTAGTTAACTCCACAGTGTAACTGTTGCATTTGAGGTGTGAAAAGGACAAATCATAAAGATAGTTTTTCTATTTTTTTTTCCTTTGGAGTGTTTCTTCTATCCTAGTGAATTTTTAATAATACAGTTTTTTTTTCCTTTTAGATTTTATAGAAGCACAAATGATTCTTTTTTCTTAATTTCTCATTAACATAACACAAAATAACAATCACTGATTATAAACTAAATTATCATTTCAACAATTTATAAGAACTAAGCATTACTAAAATTATACTCACAATTACTAGCATACCACCATTCTTCTCAATATGTTCTGTCTTTTTTAATAATTCCATTGCTTTATTAATACCCAAGACTTTTACTACATTATCTAAAAGTTAAAGTTTGTTAGATAAATTTTTCAACGATATTAATTGATTAATAAAATCAACGATGTCATTGATTAATAAACTTTAATAACTTACATATTAATCTCCATTTTCTTTCTCGTAATTTTTTTACTATTAATTTAGCAATTTTATATTCTTTTGGCGTTAATTTATGTTGATTATATTTTGTCTGCAATTTATTTTTCTTATTTGAAAATACGGTATCATCATCTTCAAAATTTTCTGTTATTGGAAATGTTTCATCATCATCAACTTTAATTAAATCTGGACTGACAGGTGGCCTTGTATCAAGTTCACGTCTTCTATAATCATAGCTCTCACAATGCCTGTCTTCAGATTTTGGTATACGTTCCATGTTACATATATCAAAACCATCACTTAATGATTGATCTTGAAGCACGCTACTCCAAATATTATTAACTTTTTTCCGTTTTCGTTGTACATTTTGTTGCTCAACTGGATCAGAAATATCATCTTCACTATTTAACTTTTTATTAAAATTATTAATGTGAATGTTTTCCAATAAATTCCCAGAATATTCTTTTTCAACCTGAGAAAAGTCATTTCTAGAACTTTTATTTATAGAGTTATTGTCATCTGAATCGCTTTCAGAATTTTCAAAAGAATTAATCCTATAGTTTGCAGATGCCATAGTTCATTACTTTGTGCCTAGAAAAATCAAAACTGCAAAATTTAAATTCAATTATTGATTAATATAAAGTATTTCATATAATGTTTATTATATATTGTATATACAACAATTTCATTATTGTTTTTATAAAATTGTTATATTAGAAAAAAACATCTAATTCTTTAATATTAAAAATATCTTCCGAAAAACATGACATTTTCATAGGGGGAAAAAACAAAAACAGAACTCAAAATATCTTTTTGCTCTTCCAGAATATGAAAAAATACTTCTACAAATAATTTCACAAAATCTAAACCTAGTTTTTTATTACACTGAAGAAGTTTTTAGAAGATATTGCTATAAAATCAAAAAGTAATTGGACACACTAGGTAGAGGAATGCACTGTTCCCAACTGTATGTCTGCTTCTAGATAATAGAATATCCTAGGTAAATGCTATATAAGTATGCTATGATATGCCAAAAAAAAATATATAGAGTCGTCTGAGTTTGAGAAAAGCATCATTGTCATATGTATCTAAGTAACCAATTATTTTGTGATGAAACTGCAATAGTTTAAATCAACTAAACAGTTTGTGCTGCACTGATGACAATGTATAAGCCATTGTAAAAATAATCATACACTACTGATCCAAAATCTTGGCAGTTAAAGATTGCAAAATTAAAAAAAAAAAGTTATAAATGAACAGGATGAATAATGGGTGATGAAATTCTCCCTATATTGTATAGCTATTCTACAGAAACAAAAACTGATATTTTCAGGATAGCAATGCATGATGTCATATTGCAGTCACCATCCTGGCTTTATGTGAGGAAAACTTCTATTTTCCTCAAGGTAAGATCAGCATCACACTATGATTTTTGTGCAATTTTACTATACACAAAACTCAAATAATGAGAATCAATTCAGAATTGTATTGTATGATAGCAAACAGAACTTATAATCAATAGTCATCTGACATTACACCAGTATATATATATATATATTTTGTTATGTAGTAACTATGCAGAATTTGTTCAACTCAACTCAAAGGGTTTGGCAATTTGTGGGTGATAAAATCAGGGGAAGAAGTGAGAGTATGAGTTTTAAAGTACCATATATTTTTTAAAGGATTATAAAGAGTAACTATGCAAAATTTGTCCAGATTGCTCAAAAGGTTTAACAGTTTGAGAGTGAGAGTCTGAGTTTTATGGTAGTGCATGTTTCCTACAGGGTACCCAAAACTGAACAGATAAGTTTAAAAAAGCCCACCAAATGGCAAATGGGATTGACCTTGAATGGAGCATACAAATGTTGCAGCAAAATAATCTTTCTCATGCATTTTCCTTTTTGATATGAAACTAGTATATAGCCAATGTTCATCTGAAAGGTATAAGCTTTCCAAAAGTAAAATAATTTTAAAAATTCACTAGATTTCAAGATTACCTCCAGCAAACAAACATTCCTGTTTTATATATATATTGATGTAGATAAACAAATATGGTTAGCCAGTATTAATCCAGATATTGTTTTCATAGAAAAGATCTACTTATAGCGTGCAAATTTACATTCTAAACTGTCAAATACATAACCCATTGGTCTAATTTTTAATGAACAATTTTTCTATCAATCCCAATCAACCTCTGGCTAATTTTCAATCCCTAGTCAATATCAACTATTTTCAGGACCCCTGATCTAGACACTTGGAAAAAAGTTCTAATTCTTTTAACTAGTTTCCAAAGTAGAGCCAACATATATATTAAAATCTTTAATTGCCTGACTAGATAAATGCTTTTTTTATACATATTATTAATCCTTTTGTCCAAATGCAAAAGTTTGGATGGAAACCTAATTAATAAGCAAAAATTTATCAAAACTTAAATAAAATGTATCATACTATTTTTTTTTAAGTAAACCCTAAAATTATACGTTATACACACATTAAATTAAATATCATATTTCCTCGATTAAATCCCGGGAGAATTTATTTTTAAAATATACATAAACCTTGTAATTTATTTGAAGATCCAGGTTTTTTCAGACTCTGGTTTATTACCTTTCAACAAGAGACAAATGGGTAAAAATTGAAATATCTTAATTGCATGCACATTTTCCAAACTATCAAAATCATTTATTGATTGTATTTATGGGTTACAGCTACAACATTTGAAATAATTTCTGTTTTCTACTAATTTGAAACAGTTAATCCAGTTCGGTCTCTTCCAATTTGGTTATTACATCATACGTATAAGCCATCATCTGCTTCAATGTCATGGTAGGTAACAAGACCACAACTACAATCAGGTTCAAACCGGATAATAATTAGGAAAATTCCAGTTAAATCAGTTTTCCTAATTATCCTTCAGCTGATAAACTTTCAACTTATGAATCTGATTGAAACTTCCCCAAACTCGACATTCAACAATATTTATAATTTCATTTCAAAAAATTTTTCACAAACCTCAGAATAGAAAGTGCAGTCCAACTCTACACAATTTGAAGAGGTAGAATTTTTAGTTCAATTTTTTACCTGTCACTTTAAACTACATTACCCTAAGTAGTGTAATACTTCAACACATTTCCAACATTTATTTTTAACAGCACATTTATTCCCAAGGTATTATTATTATTAATCACAATAATATAGTATATATTATTAAATGTGTGCATACACAGACACACACACAAACAAACACATAACTATATTCTGAATTATATTGAATAACCTAACTATATTGAATAAACTTTATATAAAGATGTAAGAACCCTGGCTAAATAGAAAAAATTTGCTTAATTTACTTAAATAATTTTGCTAAAATTTTAACTCTCAACCACAATAGCAGGAAGTGATTCCAATTTCCCACAGACTTGCTTCCTTGTCCAGAGATGACATATCATCCGAATGTGTCAATTTTGACTGTATTGGGAACATAACATCAAAAATCGTTATTGATTTAATCAATTAACATTGCCTAAAAAGGGCATTGAAATTAAAGGGGAGAACCCCCAAATAAAAATAAAGAAAAGAAAAAAAGATCAATCAACTACAACAGAGTTTGACTTGCCTTTACATCTAAGAAGATTCAGCCACACTCGGCCGCCTGTCCCGTCATCGCTGCCAATTACTGCCTAGGCCAACCTAACATTTAACGGTCTGTCTGACAATACACCTACCTATCATCAGACGGTCCACATCAAACTATCTAACATCTGGCAAACCCAGAGTCCATCTACCTATCACCAGCGAACAAAGAACCTACCCACTGGGTCAGCCTTCTCCAGCCTATTGAGTGTCTGACCTCGACAGAACCCCAATAACTACAGGCATTCATCATGGCATGCCCAAGAGTAAACTCTCTCTCTCGTGCTTAAAAGACACTTAATTTTGTGTGTAAATAAATGACGTTAACCCAGTAGTCGAGTGCACTTCTTTCGGTCACGCCATCTTACGGTCTCCTCCATTCTGAATCCAACTGCTCGCAAGATAACAAAACACTCACGTTGCACAACAATAGCGTTGTGCCAACATAGGCATGACCAACCCGGTGCCAACCTTTCAATCACAAAAATTATTACTTATTCTTATTTAATTTCGTCTTAATTGTCGCGGACGTAAGCATGTAAATATATAATTATACACATATATGTTCCTCTGTTAACACACTCGATTACAGAATGGAATAGAATGAAACAGAATGACCTTCTGAAGAATTTAAATTCTGCAATAAAAAAGGCAAGGCGTATTTTGTTATAAATATATATTCCGAGAAAGTTTAATCTGTCAACCAAAACTTATGCTGAAGATGTCATTTTTCAATTAGAAAGATATTAAAAGTTTTAATTAATAATAATTAAACTTAATAGAATTACTTATGCNGACTTATATTTAAATCATCTTACCTTATGAAAAACTTAGTCAAATAAAACAATTACAGAAATATTAAAATAAATCACTTCGTTAATCACAAAATTAGACGAATATTTTAAAAGCGAAAACTAAACACGTGCACACCCTGCTCTATGTAAACAGAGAGGTCAGATCTCGTGCTGACGTCACTAACTTGGCATTCCTGGCTAACATTGTAGAATAGGGATCTGGCTATCCTTGTAGTATATAGTCCTTGGTCCAGTGGGCATTATAACCACTGAAATGGCACTTTTTTTTTATAACTCTTTCCGCGCTGTGGGCACTAAGAGGGCATCTTTTTGCAAGCCCATTATGGGTTCGGCCAGGCCCACAATGGTGCTGCCGGGTGGTGAGGGACGGGGCCCGACATATCCGAACGGACCACCCCCCGAAAAATTCCTGGGGATTCTTCGACCCGTTCGGATTCGAACTCAGGTCCCTCAGAGCGGTAGGCTGTCACCTTGACCGCTCGGCCGGATGGCCGAGAGGTCAAGTTGGAGAGCACGCCAGCGGAAGGCTACGAAGGTGAGGAAGCCCCGAGAGAGGATCTAAGCGAAGGAAGGGTTAAGGGAATCGCGCGGGTGCGAAAAAAGGGGCGGGCCTTTGACGTTATCGGATGTGCTATCGCACGTTTGCTACAGTTTTGCTATCGCAAAGCTGTTGTTTGCAGCGGCTCTTAGTATCGTAAAACACTGTTAGCACAAAACTGACTGAACAGAGCTCATTCTCTGCTTTTATGCACTTTTTACTTGAGGTGGGATTCAGAGATGGAAGGGGTAACTTTTGAGTGTGGGTGTGTGTAGTGATTGACCAAAAAACATCCCCTCCAGCCTGGGGTTGGTCAGGTTGATATACTCTAGCCCAGCGGCTCCCAACCATCTTTCATTAGCGTACCCCCGTGGCATTTCCAACTTCCCAACGAGCAACGCATGCGCAAATCTCGCACTGCCTGTTTGTAGAGAGTGTCGCCATTTTGAATTTTATTTTGACTCGGTTCTCGGTCTTCTGCGTACCTACAAGTCTGGATTTTTTTATGCACGCATGACTTGGGTACCAAATACCTTGTGCCAAATTGCAACTTTTGACATGTACTCCTTCATACCTCTAAGCTGGTAACACAGCAGGCGTACGATTTTATAAACAATACAGTCTTGTCAATAAAAAATTAATAAAAATACTGAATAAATAATGAAAAAATTACAGCTTGTAGAGAAAATATGGAGAAATTAACTGTCTTTTTCCTTGCTAACAATAAAAAATACTTTTTATAAGCAAAAGAATACTTTTTTTTCAAACAACACGTGGGGACATTGTTGAGAGATAATAATAATAACGGTAACATACCCCACCATCAAAAGTCCGTAGCATAATCACTAATCACACATAATGGTGTCCCCACTACTATTGACCGACTGCGCAACATTTATTGATCTGTTGCATTGTACAATCGGCAGCATAAGTTTTTATTTCTATTTTTGCATTTTGAAATGTATAATAAAGTTTGTGATTATTGCAAGGAACATTTTTTACCTAATATTTTTTAATACTATTAATTTGTGATACATAATATATTATTTTTTCTGCTATAATAAGTAACTTTTTTCTGTACCCCTTAACAACCTATCGCGTATCCCCAGGGGTACGCGTACCTCGGGTTGGGAATCGCTACTCTAGCCAATCAGGGACTGACTGATGTCTCTCAATTCTCTCTGACTCCCAAAGAAATTTAGAATTTAATTTTATAAATATTAGAATTTAGCAAATCGCTTTGCCTTCTATATTTTTGTCTAACGTATTGAGTTGCCAAGTTGTGGTCTTAATATTGTGAGGCCCGGGAAAGCTGCTCCTCCTATCCACCCCTCTGATTGGCACTGGTCACAGCAGTTAATACGCACGCTAAGTGATACAGACAAGACCTGTTTTGAACTGTTATGGAAACTTTGAGAAACTAGGACAAGAGGGGGAAGGGGAGTAAAAATTTCAAGAGAACTACGGACGTAATTTATGGACAGCCCCCGTGTAAAGAGATTTAATTTTGTATTTCATTAAATTAGATTAAAATTAAATACTGAAATTAACATAATCTAAAGGCCGTATGGCGAGCGGTCATGATAGCAGCCTACCGCTCTGGGGGACCCAGGGTCGAATAATCCCCAGGAATTTTTTGGGGTGTGATCCGTCCGAATATGTCGGACCCCGTCCCTCATCACCTGGACGAATCCATAATATGCTTGTTAAAAGAGGCCCTCTTAGTCCCCACAGGGCGGAGAGTTTAAAAATAAATAAATAATAATAATCTAAAATAACGATAAGTTCAAATTTTAAAATAGGATTAAATTTTTAAAAATCTCGTAAAGCTACAAGTATATCGAGAAAAACTTGTCGGAATTAAATGTTCCGCGTTCGGGAACAACAGTTTATTTAAGGAAAAAAAATTCTTTAGTATACATCAGTTAATCGATAATCCTGTATTAAATTTTCCACGAGATGAAAATTGCTCAGTTTTGCATATTTTATGGTTTTTCTCCTACACAAAAAAACGCTGTCTGTATTTAATACTGTACAATATGTTGCATTAGTGTATTTTCATAATTTATAATTTCAAAACTGGCAACACTAATAATTTCTAACAAAACAGACGATATAAAAAATTTGAATTCGTGACGTAAAGACGATCGAAATATAAATAGAAAGAAAGAAAGAAAGAATTTTATTTCTATGAAATGATCATACTTGAGAATCTTATACTCGTTTTTTAGAAGAAGAATAACAGAAAAAAAAGCTTAAATGGATATAATTAGCAAACTGAAAAGATATAACGAAAGAAAATGTAATTATGCATTTTTTATATTACCTACGAGATTAGTACAAGTATCGAAAAAAAATATTCTCGTTTGATTGGTGCTTAAATTTTCCAAAATTATCTTGGTCTGTATTCCTTTCCTCCATGAAATATTGTCTCAATTCAGCAAAATGGTCTCTAGTTCAGTCACTTCGGCATATCATCACCACCCATTTCTTGGTCTTTGAAGTCTGTTTTGTTGCGTTTTGTTCGATAATCAAAATTGCTTTGTCTCTGCCCCAGCCTAACTTCTTTTAAGAATAGCAAATTCAAAAATGTTATTTTCTACTTTAAGCCCATTCTACAATGCAACTTGTGTTAATTGACAGTTGTGAAGCAAACCAGAGAGAAAATCTATGGTTTGCTGTTCAATTATGATTGTTGTTGTCCCAAATAAGCAGCACAAAATTACAGTAGATACATTGATTTGTTTCTGTTTTCAGAGTTTTGGCCAAGTAAAATGGTTGACCCAATTAACCAGTGGTCCAATTTAATGGAAAGATTATATTAGGAGATAGGCACACAGGAAAAAATATGAAGTATTTTACAGGTCATTTTTGTTGTTCATCAAAAGAGCAATGATGGCTGAAACTTTATGATTAGATTTGTCCGAAAACATTTTTTCTAGAGTTGTAACAAGAAATTGAAAACTGAGATAATCTCTGAAAATTAAATGTCTGGCAATTCTTGTTATAAACAGTAAGATTCTATAAGATTATGGGATAAATTTGCAATCCATAATATGTTTGTCTATTATTGAATTTTTGTCCTTGATATCTTTGCATGACCAGATTGTGAAGAGGTTTTTAAAATAGAAATTCTATTCACATTACCAGATTTGGAATTTCAAGATAACCAAAGAAATCAGACCTGTAGTACAAAATTGCAAGGCACCAATGTATGTTATCAAAAAATGTCTACATAGATCATTTCTAACCAACTAGAGGACAATATTTATATGGCACAAGACCCAGGTAAAATTGTAAGAGAATTAGAAAGCTTAAAGTTAATGGAAGATGAAATAAGAATGGTATTTGACTGAAAATTTGTATCTAACAATCCACGAAACCTTTTTATAACAGTGTTCCAATGGTCAAGAGAAGACATCATTTAGTCACCACCTGAAGCAGACCTTGGTGGAGGTTGAAAACGTTCGTGAAGTTTGTTACGGAGACAACACTGTTATAAAAAGGTTTTGTGGATTGTTATTACTCAACACAGTGTTAAGTTATTAGAAAATTTGTACTGTCAATTAAATTAGAATCATGCTTTGATAAAATTATTCAATTCTTGGTTAACCATAAACCTTGAGTTATCTGCTTGCCCAAATGAGATAAGTTAGCCACATTAGTTTGTTATCAATCATTTTTTAGATTCAACAACAAGTCTTATAAACAAAAGAAAGGGGTCCAATGGGAATTCTATGTCAGGACTTTTATTTGAATTAGTGCTATGTAAGCTTGAGAAAGATATCCCAGATATTTTATAGAAGACATCATATTCTATAAAAGGTATATGGATGATGTATTCATAATTTGGAGGAATAACGAGTTCAAGATTTTATTGAATATGGTTAACAAGAATGGTTTGAACCTAAATTGCTATTTCTTTCTATATTTTTGTATTATTTGAAAAATTTTGAATGTATTTTTATACTTATATTTTTAAAGTTATTTTATTATAAACATATGTTGTTTTATTCTTTTAATAAAAATAAAAAAATATTTATAGCTAAAGAAACTCAAGATAAAGATTTAAATAGTCCAGAAAAAATAAATGAAGAATTTCAAAAATTATATATAGAATGGAAGGGTTTAAAAGAAGAACCAAATGGAATTCCAAGATTTTATTATAAAGTACTTTTTATTGTCTTGTTAATTGTTCTCTTTTTTTATTTATAGATTATTTTTCAAGTTAAGATAAATACTTTCACTATAAAATATTAATAATCAATATAAAAAACCAAAAAACTTTTACAATCCAGCATTTAATTTTGGATAAACAAATTTTTTGGCTAGCTTAACTAGTCATGTACAGGTTCAAACCACACAGAACTACACAGTTCTAAACATCAGTTGAATGATATATTTTTATGTATAACATTAGTTCATAATTAGCTAATATTTAATTGAGTTACCATAGAATTTTAGAATATCAAACCATTGTTCTAGAAATCTGTAGTACAGCGATTCTCAATCTTTTTTTTGTCACAGTACACTTTTAATAATTTAAAAATTTGGCTGCACATACAGTTACTTTAGTACCACAGTATCACAGGACAACTGGTGATGTCATAACTGATTTTTAAATGCAGTTGATTATTTAGGTCAGATTTTCTAAATGCCTTGGTAACTACCGGTAACACCGGTTACAAAATTCAAATGCTCTAGGAAGGTAGAACCAATTAAAACTACTTGACATCACTTATGTATGGATATTTGCAGTAGCAGCACACTTCAAAAATCTCGTTGCACACTAAAGTGCTGCAGCACAGTGGTTGAGAATCACTTCTGTAGTGGCATATGGTTTGTACTTGATGATAGCTAACTGAAAGTTTATCTGAAATTAAATGCTGTATTGTAAAGGGTTTTTTTTGCTTTTATTTTAATTTATCTGGTTTGCTATTGCTTTAGTTTTTATTAATAATAAAACTTTTATTAAAAAAAATACAGTAAAACTTTGATTTAATGAACTAATTTGGGCAAGATAATGTCTGTTAATGCTGAAAGTCTGTTATATAATAAAGTAGTTTTTTTGAATAGCATGTGTTAAAAAATTGACAAATCAGTTTATTTGTTTTTATTTATGTAGATATATTTGTGTAATTAAAATTATGTATGTATAAGAAGTTCCATTTCACAGACAAATTTTCTACATGCGTTATTGCTTATGTACAGTACTTGTCATAGTTCTGAGACAATATTAATGAATCATGTAAATTGAAATAAATAAAAATTTTTTTTGAAAATACACTTAATTATATTTAACTGAATCAAATAGTGTTATTAAAAAGAAAACAATTTAAATTTGACAAAAGCACAAAACAAAATTCTTATTTGTCTTCAGATGATGATTAATCAGGACACACCCATTATGGCATGAAGAGTGGGGACTCTTGGATTTGGAAAAAACTTGTTAATTATATATGAAAATTTAAAATTTGTTCATTTTCACATTTTACGTATGGACCAGACATTTTGTCCATTAAATAAAAAAATTTTACTGTATTTCATATCTAATAATTTTTGGTTTATATTAAACTAAAATATTTTAGTTTATTTTATATCTTTAGTAGTATATTATTTATTGGCAAAATGCATTTGAATTTTAATGTAACTCATTTTTAATTAAAGATTAACTGATTATGAATTAAGGTTATGCACAAAAATATATTATTTAAATGAAACTACTAACATTTCTCTCTCAATATTGTATTTATAATTATATTTTTTACATTACATTGTGTTTTTATTTTTCAACAGTAATAATTTACTTAATGTTTGAAAAAAATAAACATTAGATATAAATAATTAAACAGAAATTAAAAAGTCAAATATTTTATAAATAAATTTTAATATAGTTTATATCTGTAATGAATGTAATAAAAATTTAAAATAAAATGCTTAATTTTTTGAAGATAAATGGAAAAAAGATTCATTATTGAAGAAGCATTATTAATGCATTTTGAACAGAAAGTCCACTTGAATGTTTGTCTCTCTTTTTTCATTAAAAAGTCAACTACTGTACTTATTTTTAATTAAAAGTTTTTAGAGTGAGCATAAAGTACAGTAGAAACTACTTATTTTAATCATTTTAGTACTGTACTTGCCTATACTGGTAAAAATAACCAATTTAAAACATTGTCAAGATTACAATTACTAGAATAAGATTATAGTTAATGGAGATTCTGGTTTTATTCACTCTTACAACTTTGAAGATTTATTAATTATAATTAAATCAATAATTTATAGTAATTCATTTAGTATTATTTGCCTGCTACTACCTTTAACAGCAGTTGTATATAAGTGAAGTAAGAAATGATAGAAATTTAAACTACTGTACTGTGAGAAAATAATGATTAAAGTGATTAATAAATAGTGGTTAAGACTAATAACAATAACTCATAATGCTTCCATATTATAAATTACATGTTAGCATAAAAAGAGAGCTTAAAAAAAGCCTGTTTAGCAAAAGCATGGTGATGACAACTAAGTGAAGTTTACTGTAAGTATCTGATTACTGTAAGTGAAGTTTTATGAATGAATTTAAACTTACATATTTTGGTACCTGATAGTTTTAATAACATTAAACAACTGATGATCTTTGTGATTACAATAAGCTAGATCTACTATATTTTAAAATTAGAACATAAATATAAGATTTTTAAGATTTGTGTTAAGCTTTTCAAATTTAAATGATGATAAACTTTTATTCAGATTCCAGCTGAAGATAACATATTATTGTTGAAATTAAGAGAAGAATCAAGGTAAGATCATTTTTTTAAAACTAGTGATTTTTTTGAACTAGAATTTTAAAATTTTATAAATTTATTATTGTTATTTCTAAAGTGCATATAGAAATACCCACAAATTTCCAGAGAAGGTTTATGTATTTTTCTGTACTGTAGCACCACTGTTGCACCATCATTAAATTAAGATACTGCAAGGTCTAGGTAACTGCAGACCATAAGAGAATATAATTGATTTTGTAATGACTAATAGAAAGTCATTCATAATACCCACTTTGTTAGTAATTGTAAGGGTTTTAATGTTTTAAATTAAAAGAGAATATTTTTGATCATTTTTACACAAGTTAAAATTGTTTCTAATGTAAAGAAAAAAGTGTGTTACATGTATGGTGGGGAAATATCTTTTAAAACTGATAAAAATTTAAAGTAATATTAAGGAAACATAAATCCTATTTTTTGTTATTTTTTGTTTCTAGAAAATAATTGGCAAAATTTTCTTAAAATTTTACTAATATTCCATTATTATTATTTATCAAAAAATATTTATATTAACATTTAATTCATAAAGTAGTCCAAAATATTCACAAAATGTAATAGAATAAATTCTATTATTCTATTACATTTTGTGAATATTTTGGACTAGTCTAATGCAAAATTTTTGAATTTTTGCATAGTTTATTCTACAAACTTGTATTTTCTAATTTATTTTCACATGTACAGTTGTTTTCATTAATTAGTATTATAAAATCATGGAATAATAACATGGGAGAATGGCCATCTTTGGAATATCCATCTATATTTGAATATCTTATTTTAAAAGTAAAGCCTATCATTCTCGTGCATGGCAAGTAAAGCCACATAAATTCTCATGCATGGCAACAATTTGAGCAGTGCGCAGCCGTGCAGCTTAGAGGGAACATAGCCTATCTACAAGTAATAATTCTATATGGACTTGTACGTCTAATGATGGCAAAGTTATTTATCTAGCTGCATGTACTGTACATGATAGCTGGTTACCCATTCTATTAAATTTTCATCATGTTTAAATATAACTGAAACAATTGAATACATGGTCAATCTTGATGCATCATGTTTTTGTGTACATAACATACAGCTTCAAACCACTTATAAAGAACTCTGACTATAAGACAGCCAACCACTGCACAATATATACCTGAGCCGGTTTTATAAGAATTGTTGCCGATGAAAAACTAAAAATTGAAGACTTGCACTAACAACTAGCAAAATCTTAATGGCTGCCACGACATATGTCCTTGTGTGGCAGAATTAAAAAAACATGTTCTGGAACCTTGTAGATATATAGTATTGATTAATTTTAAAAAAGTCTTAAATCACTAATTTATAATCAGCATAATTAGATGATTTAATAATTACAGAATTTGAGCTACAGGTACGCTTATCATCATCTCTTGAAAACATTAATAACTAACTAAATTTGAATTAATTGCATTCAATATATGAAAAATTATTTGTACAAGGTGGTATTTTAATTTGCATCTCTTGTGTAATGTATTACTAGTAGAGATGTAACTAATACCAATCCAATACTGGTATATTAGTGTATTGGAATTTTTCCAATATATTGGTATCAGTTTGTTTTATAAACACATATTCTGTTTTTTTTATACACATTTTCACATCGTTTTGTCATTGCAGACATTTGAACATGTTGATATACATTCATTCATTCATTTCTTTATTAACGCACACAATGGTACATGCCGGGTTCTGCAGTGAGCACTACCCGGTGATAACAAATTACAATAATAAAGATACAGATAGATATAGGTGTTACAAAATACATAATTATAATATAAAGGTAAAATACACAGGTATAATAGGTACACAATACAATAACACAATACAATACAATATAGAAAACACTGACGATCGAGCGGTGTCTCGAAAATTGTGCTTGGTGCGATTCTAGCTAAAACCCAGTCACATTCGACACCAATACACAAAGTCCATCCTTAAAAAGAGACAGCCATAAGCAAAATAGGATGAAGAAAAATGTTCTTCAGCACTAATGTATATAGTGTGTACTGTAAACTTAGTGCTGCAGTCTTGATCATCTGTCTGCACGTAAACAGTACACTTTGGTAGAGAATAACTACTGAATAATCAGGATAAACTAAACGTATGCCAGACATCCTGAGGCTGATAATGTGTAACATGATGGCTGCTGAAATTAGAGTTATTTGATGAATCGGAATAAGATAGTATCGCTCATACTCAATAGAGTGATTGAGTACAAAGCTGACTAAAAGNTTGATCATCTGTCTGCACGTAAACAGTACACTTTGGTAGAGAATAACTACTGAATAATCAGGATAAACTAAACGTATGCCAGACATCCTGAGGCTGATAATGTGTAACATGATGGCTGCTGAAATTAGAGTTATTTGATGAATCGGAATAAGATAGTATCGCTCATACTCAATAGAGTGATTGAGTACAAAGCTGACTAAAAGCCACTGACTGTAGTACGTGCAAAGTATTTGGTGATTAAGTCGAAAAAGGCCTCATATGAGTCTTTTTCACGAAGGATTGTGTCATAGTCAGACCAGTTGTGGCCATATGAATTAATAGTGGTAAGCAGTATATGTCGCTCCAAATTAAGCATAGGGTACTCATAAATGTAGTGCACATTACTGTCTGTAACACCACACAGGGAGCACATTGAACTGATTGTGTTAACAAATCTCGCTAGATAAGATTGAAAGCGACCATGGCTAGTAAGAAATTGCATAACAAAACTATTAGGTCTGTACCATTTGTATGTAAAAAAGGTCTTGATACAAGGTATGAATCCATGAGTAATAGGGTGGTTATGTTGGTCCCAGGTGTTTTGCCAAGTTAATAGGAGATCCTGCCAGAGAATTCTTTTGAGAGTACTGGTGCTGATTTTATCGTAAGAGATATTAAGACTATTATTGTTGGAAGCTGCCTTAGCTAAGGCATCAGCTCTTTCGTTACCATGGGTCCACTATCGTTACCATTTCGTTACATATGTGCACGAGTCCAGTAAATATAATATTGATTGGAAGACTTGGAAATGAGAGTGTTAATGTCATAAACGATTGGGTGAAAGGATCCTTTATGAAGGATTACAATAGAGGAAGAGCTATCAGTAATGATAGCTATTTGTTTATGATGGATATTGTTAGCCCAAGTAATGGCCATTTTCAAGGCATAGAGTTCTGCTTGAAAAACAGTGCATTGTTCACCCAATCTGAACTGGCCCAGAGCAATATCCTGCCTGTTCTGGTAAACAACATAACTACAACCAACCTTTATATCTGTTGATGTTGATACATGTTGATATACAGTATATACTGTGCTGTAAAATTAACCCATGGTAGATGGAACATCCTCTCTGTATGTTATTGCCTCTGATAGCCTCATAGTATGCTGCTGTTACTGTTTTGGCAAGCACCAGCTTGGTTGCGAGAACTGCTTTATGTGGCAATCTAGACACATTTTTAGCAGACCTGTGCCAAATTATAATTTCTGGCAGAAAATAATGCAGTGACAGTGCAATCTGGCATACCATTTTTCATGAGTATGTATTTTTTTTTTTTTTTCTGGTCATTCTTATATTCCAGTACAACAATAAAAAATATTATAATTATATATAATAAATTAAAACAAAATTATTGATAATTTTGCAAATTGCCATCTGTATAAAAAATAAAAATTAATTGATACTATTTAGGTGCTCACACCTAGTTAACATGACCTGATGTAAGAAAAGCTAAGAATTCAAACCCAGGTAGTCAGGTACTTGGTAAAATGAGAATTACTCTTACTTAGAAAAAAGAGAAATTGTCACATTTTACTTTCCTGGCTTTTATGTATACATAACAAGGAAAGCAATGGAATTGTGTCAAATTTGACCTTCTGAGTTTTCTGCAAATCTCCACATTTTGAGATCTGAATAAAATTCCATGGATGTATGTGTGTATGTGTTGCCATCTATTTTGCTTAATATTTCAGGCTGGGGTAAACATTAAGAAATGAAATTTGGTGTGGTGCTTGTATATGAGTGGCATTGATGCTATTAAATTTTGGTGGTGAAAGGTCCAAGGAGTGGGGAAATAGAGGGGGGGTCATGTGTCATATCTTGGTAAAGGTAGGACTTAATGAAGATTTTATTCATTAGTAACATTTATACTTTTTCATAAAACTCATCCCTAGCCTCAAAATTAAGACTTTTGCCATTTTATAGTAATTAAAAATATAGAAAGTTTTTAGAAAAAATTCTATTAACAGATGGTGCCACACATTTTATTTATTTTGCTTAATATAAAAGTTATTTTTAAAATAAAAACTCATAACAGCAGGGAAAATTATGCAACTTGTTGCTGGATTTTTTTCCTATCCATCACTGTATTCTAGCACTGTATAGGGATAGTCAGATGACTGAGTCAGTTAAGGCATCACGCTACTAATCTGGATTCTCAAGATTGAATCCAGACAGTTGAAAAATCTTGGGGTGGTCTATCCTGGATATGTTGAATCTCATTCCTCATTATCCAGTTGCCCTATTGTGGATTTAGGCAGTCCACAATGAGCTTGATATAAATACTCTCTTACTTGTTAGTGCCCATAAGGCAGAAAGAATAAAAACTGAAAAAAGAAACATTGTGTAGAGAGTTACTCTTAAAATTAAATGCAATTTTATGTTTAAATGCATGATCTCTCTATTTCCAGATGTAAAATCTTCAATTACAAAGACTGAATAGGAGGATACCTTTACTATTATTTGTCTGTCTGTACAGGATTGAAGTTGTCATAGTATAACAAATTCATGCTGACCGTCATTGTTGATATATTGTGTTAAATATATCAACAATGACGGTCAACATGAATTTGTTGTGTGACACACCAACAACTTTTTTCTTGCATGCAACCCCAGGAATTACCTTAAAAATTAAATATCTAAACAAATTTTATTTTAACTTAATAGAATACAATTTTATTGAATAGAGCAATACCAAATGAAAATGCAATAAAGAATCACTAACAACTAGTTTAGTAATAATAAATAAGTGTAGTTCTTGGACTAAAGAACGAATTCTGTCAAATTATTCTTGAAATTGAAGATATTTTCTGTGCATTTCATTAAATATTTTAACCCATCTGTCAGCTACATTAATTTTTCCTTTATTCTTTTTTTCTATACGTATTTGGTTATTATTGTCTTTATTAATGCCCATTGATCAACTAATTGAATTTCACCTGTTTCTATTTGTGTAATATGTTTCTTAAATTTGTTGAAACTACTGTATTCTGTATTTTTATGATCCTTATCATTGTTGAACAAATGTTTTCTAACAAGTCATGAGTTCAGAATACAATATACTTGTACAAATGTGTTTAATATTATACCAGAGAATTAGATTTTTGATTTTCAAAAAACAGGACACAGTGAAAATTTTACTAAAGTGATAAGATGGACAGGTCAGAGCAAAACAAAACATATGTAAGTTTAGTTTATCATTAATTATGTTGTATTGTTATCTGTATTGTTTACTTGTAAAATACTAAAGTATATTTTTTAGGTATCAGCAATATTTATGTAATACTAAAAGAATGAAAATTTAGTATTTTATTGTATTATGATTTATATAGGCTGACCATATGTACCATTTTTTGCTCTATTCCAGCTGTTCTGTCAGTTTATTAAAATTTTCATTTTTGTCTTGTTTTCCACATCGTCTGTTGCCCATAAAACATGTGTGGCTTAACAAATAAGTACTGAAAATAATTTTAATATTGATGATAAAATTATTTTTTGTTATAATTTTTTGCAAGTTTATTTTATTATTTGATAAAATGGCCAGGACAGTAAGCACAAACTCAAAAGTTTTCAAATGAGAATACATTAAAAGTGTCTTTATCTCGTCTTTTTTACATACTTCAGGAATTGTGCCATTGCCAGAAAGAAGATTTTAACATTTTACATGTTGAGGTAGATAGAAGCTTCTAAAGAAAGGTCAACTCTGCCATGAGACATTTTCTGAGTTGTGAAGAAAGGACAAGAAGACACTTTTAATGTAATGTGTTGTTTGAAAATTTTTTTATAAATTTGTTAAGTTTTTATTTTGTTGTTATTACTAGTCAAAGGAAATTAGTCATAAAATAAAAACAATAAATCTTATTTATTTATTTATACACTTTACATAATTGGAATAGTTCATAAATATCTACAATTGAATTACAAGGGTGGTCATTTGAAATTGAAACTAAAGTAATGTCTTCTTTAGTTTCAATTTCATTAATTATTGAGGCAGAGCTTTGCTAATGCTCTGCCTTAATAATTATGTACCTTACAGAATTATGTTCATTCTCAAAATCCATTTGATCAATTTTGATTAAATTATGCCATTTTCCATTATTTGTGATGAGGAATTGAAAAATAGTAAAAAAAAAAAAATGGGGGTCCCTGACTCCATTTTCAAGATAAGGTCATTTCATGAGTGCGCAATGAAGCAATATCACACAAATTGTATGACTTTGTCATGCGATGTTTCACAGTTGCTAGCACATCATCTACGGGCTTAGAGAATTGAGTTTGTTCTCAAAATTTAATGGGACAATTTTTGATAAAATTTTGCCATTTTTTAGTAATTGAGATGAGGAAACTAGAAATNATTTAGTTTATTATTTTCTTAAATTTTTTGCTAATAGATGTGTGTGTATTTTTTTGCTAATAGGTGTGTGTAAAGTCAGGAAAATTGAATGTAGATAGAAATTAGTTGATTTACAGAAATCCTGTTAATATTTTGAGGTGGAATGTACATTATCTAAGTTAGAAGTGTGTAAACATAACTGCCAAGTTTTGTAGCAATTGGTTGACTAATCTAGAGTGCATAGCAAACAAACAAACAAACATCCTCATTTATATATATATGAATTTTTTATTGCTGTACTTCACATTATCTTGGTATAGGACCACTGCCACATACTATAGATAGATGACATGTATGCATCCATTATGGTGCCATAATGGATGCAGTTTGGCAAGAGATACTTTAGGCAATCATTAATTAATTGCTTCATTGATAGTATGTCTCACTATATAGCAACCTGCATAGCTGCCTGTGAGGGCCATATTTGTTACTGAATAAACAGGTGTCTGTTGCATATTTCTGTTTGTTCTTTTAATCATTTGCATATCTCTGTCACCTCTACAGATCCTGCAATGCGCTTGTGGCTATGTACATTCCTTCATGGTGTTACAATTTTACTTTTGATGAGTGTATGTATATATACAGTAAATCTCTACTCACTTAAACTAATAGGGGATAAAGGTGGTTTGAGTTTACAAAAGTTAGTAGGATGTTTTCCCTGATGGCATGGAACATGAGAAAGTGAATATATAGTACAGTAATTTATTATGATCAGTTTTATACAGAATTTTACTGGGCTTTTAGTAAGTTATACCATTGAATTTATTATTACAGGAAATGAGCCCAAAAAATTTTGTGATAGTACAATATACCACAATGTACAGTCTTTAGTAATTACTGACTACAGTAATGAATTGCACAGTATTACAAAGATTTCTGAATGTTGAAAACACTCATTAATTATAATTTCATTATAATGATAATTATTTGTTAATTATAATTTTTATATTGCCAAGAAATTTTAAATTACTATGCAATTTTTTGAAAAAATTTGTTCAAGTTATGCAAAGTCTAAATAAATAAAAAATATCTGCAAAATTGTATGCTTGCCAAGCGTGTGGATAATGGTTAGCCTTAAACTAATGGTTACTAAACACCCAGATAATGGTTAGCCTTAAACTAGCCCGATAGAATTTTGGCATTTGGTTGGTGTTTAGCTATATTATATATCGGGTTTAGTGATGTTTGTATAATGGTTGTCCAGTTAACCATTATCCACTTGACTAATGACCATTGTGAATTGCCCAGTTGACCATTGTCCAGTTGTCATGTACCCTGTCTGTGCTCTCTGATGCAACTGAGCATGCCTAATGGAATTTAGGCCTAGATGTCAAAAATAAAATCAACATTACGTGTGCCTAATGGAAAATAAGCACAAAAAATAAACAAAACACCTCTCCATATCTGGCCAATGCAAGGATTCTCTCCCCCAAGGCCAGCAAGTACAGTACAAGGATTGTCTCTCCTGTAGCCAGCAGGTATGAGCATTGCCTTTCTTGTGGCTGGTAGATATGAGGACAGTCTCTCTTGTGGTGGCAAGTGCAAAGTTTACCTGTTTGTATTGGTTAGGTACAAGAATCACCTCTTCTGTGCCTAACAAGTGTAGGGATTGCTTCTTTTTTTCCAGCTCTGCTTCAATTCTATCATGAAAAGACAAAGTTGCATGATGTCCTAGTTATTCTTAATTAAATTTAATTAAAAAATTATTGTAATTTTTAATAAAATAGTGATCTAACTGCATTGCCTACCTTTAGAAAAAAATTATTTTATACTAGGTAATTATTAATTGTTAGCCAAACTGTAGTCCAAAATAATCCAGAAATTAATATGATAATTATAGAATATTTGGGCTTGGATGTTTATGAATATCTACAACGAATTGTTAATGGAAATGAAACAGAAAAAGCAATACTTTAATGCTTGAGATGGCAACTTCTAAACTGTATACCAGTAATTATCTTGCTTTCACTGGTCATCCTAGAGATAGTGTATATATGGTATGGTGGATCATACAAAGATTTTATTTTTGTTCTTAGAATTTTCTTTGGGGGTATACACCACTGTGGATTATCTACATGAAATTACAATAAACATAATAAACTCATCTAAAAGATATGCTTGGTTTGATCCTGGAAAACCTTTTACATTAACATAACTATTAAATTGAAGTTTAGACTATTTACAAAAATTAAATTAAATTTTCGAGTCTATCTTTT